TGTGTGTGTGTGTGTGTGTGTGTGTGTGTGTGTGTGTGTGTGTGTGTATCGGTAATGTCAGGGGAAGAGGCAGATACGTACATATAATCAAGTAACTGTGCTCGTTAGTGTGACATGCGGATATAATTGATGGGGGGGAGGCAGTCTCTGTACAATTTAGTCTGGTGTTTGCCAAAACTCAATATCCCTGGCTTACCTCGTCTTTCCTTCTGAGGACCTTCAGCGCTTGACAGCGGAAACCATTTCAGGAACCGGTGAATGTAATTTGTTTCGAACTACTTCCTTTTTTTGCGGTCAAACCAAGTTTCTCGGCATTTTATGCGGAGACATTAGCAGAGGGTGCGAAGGCTGTTTCCTTTAACTGTGTGCCATGCGCTGCGTGATGAAAACATACAAGATGACCTTTTGTTTCTTACTTGACTGTTGGCATGAGGACATCTTTACCGTTTTGCTGGAAAGTGGGCTGCACCTTGAAACTTTTTCAGGCTCGTTTTATTTCCATGCTGCCGTTTCCCCACACTGAGGCTTCTGCTGGTGGTTTTCTGCCATTCAAACAACTCAAGCGAGGAACTCGCATTCTTCTAAAAGGAAAAAGAAAAAAAAAAAAAAACACCAAAAACAGTGCTTCCATTAAGTGGAAACCGTGCTTCAATACTTTGGCAATTTAATGTTGCAGTTTGGATTTTTTTTTAAATGTATACTGTGGTGTTAATAACTTTTCTTCAACATTTCTACTGGATACCTCACAATTATGAGATACTTTGTAACAAGGGCTATAATTATCTTTGTATCTAGGCTGGGAAAGCCTTCAGTAAGGAGAGAGCTGCTGCGTAGGAAGGCTCTGTGTTAGTTCCAGGGGCTTGGCACAGAGTGACTTAACCTGTTGCTGCTGAGGCTGGCCTAGGTAAAGAAAGTATCCAAACGACACATGGTATCAGAAAAAGCCAGAAGCTCGGGAGGGTGAGGGTGGCTCCCTGTCCTTGTCATTTTTTTTTTTTTTTAAGGTAGGGGGATCGTTAGAGATGCTTCTGAATATTCCAAGAGTCGGATTGCTACATTTGGACTTTCATGGTTTCCGGATTTTGATAATGGTTCATTGGATATAGAAAGACAACTTCTGACGTGCAGAAGTAATCCGAACTGATTGGTTAAACTCATTCCCACTAGGACTCAATAAAAATGAAAACAAATTTATATGTTGCCTGTGGAAATAAGAACAAGCAAATGTCACCTTTCACGTTTCTTAAAAAAATGGGATTAAAAAAAAATGTATTCATGGGAAGCCAAAAGTTCTTACATTGTTTAATAAACAGCATGTAGAATTTAAAAGATGAGGCAGTTTAAAAGTATATTCCACACAGTGTTTCTCTCCCTAAATAGGAGACAGCACAGGCAGTAGTTATCAAGGAAAGTATATTTGGAAACAGAATTTGTGTAAGGGGCAGAAAAACAAATCTGAGAAGAGATGAATTCCTTATGTTATCCAGGAATATGGGGCTTGCGGTTTTAACATGTGTATCTGCTTGACCCCGGACTGAAGGTGGGCTCTGCCTGCCACTGTCTGATACATGCCCAAATTCTCAGAACAGGGATGAGCACTGGCTGAGATGTCCTGCAACAGCAGGCACCCGGCAGGAGCTAAGCTGGTGAGGACTCTGGGAAATGTAGATCAGACTGTGAAGCCTGTGGAATGTCTATGGACCCCAGGAGACTGGTGCAGATTCATGGGCAGTGACAGCAGATCCCAACTGGCACCTGCTTAGGAAGTTGTCGCCCTGACTTGGACACGGATTATGTAGCCTTGGATAAGTTGTTCAGTCTTTCTGGTCCTCCTGATGTCCTCAGCTGCAGCGTGACTTTGGGCTGGAGAACTTTATGGCTACGTGACATGTTCTGGTAAAATCAAGCAGAAGGAAAAATCTGAATGTGGGGTACGTGTATGGCTTGTAAGTGTTAGGGCTGGAGGAGGCAGGGTGTAAGATGGCTGGATGTGGGGAGAGGACAATGGCTGACAGCTGGAAATGAAAGCAATCTAGCCTGGGGCATGCGGTCCATCTTGGTGATCCCAGCTGACAGTAAAATCAAATAACAAATACCAGCTTTCACTCAGTGCTTGATGGTTTTCCATGGGTTTTCACAAATAATAACAATTGATTTTCCTAACAACCTCCCGAGGTAATTAGAGCAGAAAGGTGATAAAGTCCAGCCTGATGCCACAAAACCAGTGAACAGAGTGTACTCTGTTGCCTTTTTGCAGTAATGGAGACAGAGAACAGGCTAAGAATGCCTTGGAAACCTTGAGTAAAGAGGATCAAGAGATAGAGGTGAGCCTGATGTTTGATTTTAGAGGAGGGTTGAATTTTTTAGTGAAAACTGTATATATTCTAGGAGACAAAAGTGTATGATTATGAGGTTGAGAACCTCTGATATGTCCTGGATTCTGACCATTGACTTGAGTCTGATTGCTCCTGTTTCATGCTTCCTCCCTAACTTAACCCTAACCCCAACCGCCCCACTCCCTTTCCTGAGTGGGATTTTCCCTATCGCTGAGTCCTTGACATGACTATTCTAAGAATTCTGTGCTCCCTGGGAAAAAAATGAAATGCCTAAAAACTATTTAAAGGGGAGAATCTTTGGACCAAGGCACTGTTGGTGAAATATGTAGGGCAGTCAGAGAAGAAATTACAACGAAAAAGGAGGAGTGTAGCAGAGTAGGAAGATAGGGAACTGGAGATTTCTTCCTGCAAAACCATGGCTACTCCTGTTCTGAACATCATGTGCCCAGAGGAAGGTCTAGTCACTCTGCCATCACGTCCCTTGGTTTTTTGTTAGTTGTCAAGAATTCATTAGATTATATGCACATGTAAGTAGATCCAGCAATAACAGATTTGCTGTCTGATAAAAATGGTAGTTCTAAAGGCGGATCTTGCTTCAATTGCTGGTGGAACCAGAGATGCACACGGCTTTGGATTCTTTCCCTCCTCATTTCTCAGTTAGGTTTCTCTCTGGATTAGACATATCCTGAGGTCTTTGTATGTGAAGGGAGCAATCGCTGTTAATAGGTCCAAACCTATACTTGAGTTGGGATCCATAAGAAAGAGCGTCCAGGTCCTGTTTATACCTCTTCTGCAGGGTTCTGAGGTGCTGGGCTTCAGTGGCCGCAGCATCAGTGCCCCGTGGATGGCAGAGTGTTCTGTGGTAGCACAGAGAGGATAGGTATAGAAAGGATCTATACCCAGCTCTTTCTGAGCATGTTTTTCTGAGTGAAAACAATGCACTTGTTACTACGTATAATTGCTTTCACCTACACAGAGATATGTACTTTGCCCTTAGGCAAGTCTGGTGCCCAAAGCCATGCAAATTCTAGAAGGCAGAACTTTCAACTTTCACTGCTGGAAGCCCAGCAGTGAAATAATGCTCTTCTGTCTCGACTTTATTGAGAGGAATGTGATTTCCAGAGTAGCACATCATTTATCTGTATATTTGAAGCCATGCACTTTAACAAGTATCTGCAGGCCTTATTTCCAACACATGGATTTCATTTTCAGAAATCCATCTGGAGGTCCTGAGGTTTGAAGAGACTTTCCTGTGGAAATCACAGGGCCGGTGACACTTGAGAAGTGAAGTGGTGAGCTCAGAGCCACTGTTTTCACCACACTATGATGTTTGCTGGAAACGGGCAGGGACAAGCGGTAGACGCAGGTTCTGCGTTAGAACCTTGAGGGGAGCAAAGCTGCAGAAGTCCGAGTTTGTGTGTCAGGAGGAAGGCAGGTCTGTATTCCAAGACATGTGTGTGGAATTTAATGAATCTGAAAGGATCAGACAAAGGAGGCAGGTGGTGCAGGGTGAGGGAGAGGCCAGCTCCAACCGGCTTGCTTAAAAATGAGGCTTGGGGTCATCGGGCATCCTCGGGGCACGTGTAAAAGTATGGGTGCATGTGCATGTGTTTGTGTGCGTGTGTGCATGCATGTACACTTGTATACGCGTGCAAAAGTGGGGAGACCAGAGGTGGACATTGGGTTTCTTCCTCAGTTACTTCTCCACCTTCATATTTTCGACAGTGTCCCTCACTGAATCTGGACTTTACCAATTGCCTAGACTTGCTGTCCAGGTCTCTGCTACCACTCCTGACCCCAGTGCAAGAGTTCCAGATCCATGCTGTTACACCGAGCTTTTTATAGGGTGTACCAGAGATCCAGATTCCAGTCCTTATAAATGCCCAGCAAGTACTGTACTATCGTGTCATCTCCCTAACCCCTAAACTGACTTGGTTTTGGCAAACTACTGATATGACAGATCCCAAGGGCACACTTTAAATCACTATATTATTTAAGCGTCTCAAGAGACTTCCAAAGTGAGAAAACCAAAACTTGGGAGAGATAAATAACCAAGTTAAAATTGTGTGTGTGTGTGTGTGTGTGTGTGTGTGTGTGTGTGTGTGTGAACACTAAATGCCAAAGCCTGGATTCCAACTCTCAGCCCAGTCACCACAGCCTGTGCTGTAAGCAATGTGCAATATTATTTCAGTA